GGAAATGGTTTTGCCACTGCTGTGGCCTAAAAATAGAATGCAGTTGAATCTTTCATTTAAATATTATGAGGGTCCTTTATTTTTAGCAACTTTTTCCCCCAAAGGTTTGACAGAGCTGAGCAGAGAGAGAGGGGCAGAGGGGGAGAGAAAATCTTAAGCACACTCTCCACCAAGAGCATAGCCAGATGCAGGGCTTGATCCCAGGACCCTGAGATCATGACCTGAGCTGAAATCAAGAATCAGACACTTAAACCGACTTGAGCCACCCAAGCGCCCCATTAGCAGCTTTCAAAGGTTGTGCCAAGCATCGATAATTCGGAAAAATTTTTTTAAATGTATTTAAGGAACTCATCATTTGGTGGGACAGCTATGTACGTAACTGTAATACAATGTGTTAGGTACTATGAGATACATAATGTTCTGTGCTGGATATTCTCCATTTGCCGGTTCAGATGACTTCTCCCGGTCTTCACCTCACTCTGCCCTTGGGAAGCTGACCTGAAGGTCAGCATCAATGGGCTTCCTTACCCTTTAGCTTCCAGTTGGTTCTGACCAGTTGGGAACTGGCAGCAGAGGATGAGAGACTAAAAGGACAGAGAGGTCAGGACCTTTGTCCCCTCCTGGCCAGGCTGTGGCTTGGTAGTTGGCCACATTCCTCTTGCAAGGACCACAGCTTACAGCTCTCCCCTTTGTCTGCTCTACCCGCTTCCTCCGCCTGCCTCTTCAGGCCCCGCGGGTAGTAGCTTCCGAGTACTACTGGAAGTAGTACTGCAGAGTACACCATTGTTCTTTGTTTACTTCTCTCAAAGCTGCCCATACCTTCACAAATGGCCCCTTCATCTAAGTTTCTTCAGTCTTCCTGTCCTGTCAGGTCCCTGAGCAATATAAGAATTGACCTATTATGGGCCAACTGAGGCCAGGACGAGGTAGCAGCACTGAGGAGGGCATCTGGAAATCTGCACCGAGAGGGGGAACCTTGAAGGTGCCTAGGCATTCCTCAAGCGGCCAAGGAGGAGACAGGAATTCAAGCAGAAGGGACAGTGTGTGCAAAGGCAGAAAAGGGTGAGCATAAGGGCTGTGGGTATGAAAAGGAGACATGTTCGGTGGGACTGGGGCAAAGGGTTCATGTTGGAAAGTGGCAGAGGACGAGGCCTGGTGGAAGGCCCTGTGTGCCCTGCTAAGGAGGTTAGAAGGGGACACAACCACTAAAGATTTGTAAGGAGGGGCAGGATATGCTCATCTTTTTATTCTAGTAAGATTCCTTGGCACCGCTAAGGGTTGATTAAAGAGGGGTTAGGAGGTAGGTTAGTTAGGAGGCAGGAGGCTAGTTAGGAGATCCTTTAGTGTGTGTGCTGTTCAGGAGGTGAGAGAGAGATCAGGAGAACTTGAATTCTGACAGTAACACTGGAGGTGAAGTAGCAAGGAACGGGTAAGGAGATACAGGGGAGGTGGAATCAACCAGAATTTGGTGACTGAGATGGAGGAAATCTCCCATCTCTTTCTCCTGGACACCAAAACTACTTTTTCCCTGTGTGGCCGTGTGACTAAAGGACAGCAATGATGTTTATTACTTCCAGGTCTAGCCAGGAAAATCCTCCTACATAACCTTCCATGCCCAACCTCTTCCCTTTCATGTAGAGGATAGAGTGGAGGGTCCAGGAGGACTCCAAAGCCCAAGTAAGGTGACCAGGTGGAAGAATCTGGACTCCTGAATGACCATGTGCAGTGAGGCCCATGCCAGCTGGCCTCGTGATTTGTCACACGAGAAATCAGTCTTGATTTTGCTAAGCCGAGGTCTCTGGGCTTGTGTTACAGCAACTATGTTCCTTCTCCCCCCGATGCAGTGACCAGGTGCAAGTAGGAGATCCTAGTCTTCTCTATTCCCTCAGCCACTGCCCCTGTTCAGGCTCTCCGAATCCATCTTTGAATCCTGGAGCACTGTTCTAAATGGTCTTCCTCCCTTCGGTGTTGGCAAAGTCCTCCTCCTCCTCAGATCCTCTACCCGGTTTGCTGTCAAAGAGATCTTCTGATAATTGAGGCATATTACCGTACTTCATACTTTTCAGAGTCTCCCCAGTGCTTCCGGGATGAAGTCTAAGCTCCTGTGCTTGGTCTTACAGACCCGCTGCCATCTCCTGTTTTATCTCCCTCCTGTCTGGCCTTGCTAAGAAACACGGTTTTCACCCCTGCCACACTGCCATTCTCCTGTTGTCCGCTCTGTCTTGAAAGCTTCCCTAATCAAGTGGATTTCATAAATCCCTGCTTGTATTTCAAGACTCAAACTAAACATCACCTCCTATATGACAATTTCCTGGATTCCCCACCCCAGTGATGGAAAAGAAGTGATCATTCCTTTCTTTTGGTCCGTTTCCTTGGGCAGTAGTGCTCCATTTTCTGCTTCCACTTTTGCTAAACTTTTCCAGCAGTTAACATTTCCCCTTACCCTGCCGTGATTTTCAACTGTAGCTGGCTTACAGATTCTTAATGGGATATATTAGAAGCTTGGGGGAAATTTTAAACATCACCTATCTCTCCCCAAGAGATTCCATATGTCTTTTCCATGCTCTCTAAACTATCCTCCCCACGTAAACCTTGAAAAAGACTGTCATACAGGCTCCTGACCCACCACTGGAAGCACCCCATTGGCCCCTCTGGTCTCCACATTCTCTGCTAGTTACAAATGCTTGAAGACTGAAAACCACACTCCTCTTCATGACTCCAGCAGCTCATGCAGGCCAGGCACAGAGCTATCACTAAATGTATGGATAATGAAGGAAACCAGAGGACACGGGGTTGCCAGGAGTGAGTGGTCAGAGCGTCTTGTCCCCTGCCACAGAGGAATCCACAAAATCTGGCAGTTGGGTCCCCAGTGACCTGACCAGGCAGTTTCGTGGAGTGCTGGGGGCAGAAGCCAGATGGTGGTTTGTGCCAACCACCATGAAAATTCCATGTAACGGAAGTGGTCTCTGGTGATAATACCGTAAAAGCCCGTAAAATGCAAAAATATTTATAAAGGTGAGCTTTCCAGGTTTCAAAAACACAAACTCTGATATCCCAACCTTTCAAGAGGAAGTGAGGTATTTTGTTGATCACGAGGAAACAACGGGATTTCAAGAACAAATAATTTCAACCACTGAACTGAAATGCAACCATTTTCTTTAACACCTTAGGCCATTGTTAACCTTTTATTATTCCATAAAGGGGCAAGTCCCCTGAGGGAGACAACACCAGAGTCAGCAAATAAAGCTTTGACAAAAAGCTACTTTGTGTTCTGGTCTCTACACACCAGCAGTATGAAATGTTGGCATTTTAAAGCACTTACTATGTGCGGGGCACTTACGACCATGGGGAGTATTTTTCATTACATCACATCTATTAAGACATAATTTATGAGCTTGCTTGGACACCAGGTGTCACTAAGGGGCAAAGAGAAAAAGTTTCTTTTTCGTTTTTCATTTTTCTCTTTGGATGAAAGCTAGTGGCTTGGAAATTGCTCTCCATGGCTTTCATTAATAGATCTCAAACTTTTAAATCAAAGTCTTGATTCTTTTCTAAAGAATAGATGGCTTTTTTAAAAGACCCTGGAATCACAGTGAGTGCCTTCTCAACCCTTCCCTCCCTCCTTGCCCTGTTGTAAAATCCGTGCTCTCCAGAAATCTATGTAATGCAAGGGTTGGATGAAGAGGAGAAGGATTTGAAGAGGAGAAACTGGAGAGAGAAGGTGGTACTCTGCTGACGAGACATAGAGAACCCAAGTCTCTAGCAGGCTGGTGGCAGTGGGACTGTAAAGGCATGCAGCAGGTCCTGAAGGGAGGAGTAGGCCTGTACGGGCACTGAGGTGGTCCTGGAGCAGAGTGTCTGCAGAGAACTGCCCTTAGGTACCTGGGAAGGTGGTGGCCGCATCAATGGAATAGGAAGATGCACCCACTCCACTGGGCACTTCCTGTCTTTAGCCTAGTTCACCAGCTCAGCAAGTTTCTGAGGGAATTACCATCAGAATCTTCCAGTTCTGGGTGAGAAATGGAGACTCAAAGAAGATTAGGGATTTACCCAAAGCTGTAGATAGAGCGAGAGGCAGATCAGCCAACAAATGTTTATGGAGCATCAAGAAAGTGCTAGGCTAGGGAATGAGCAACCTCAGCGTTGCTGTCCACTGGAGTACACAGTGTTGGCAAAGATGTTGGTGAAAATGGTGACCGTGTGGGGAGTTTACAAAAGGGGCTTAATGGCTCTATAAGTAAAGAAAAGACTGATTTTGAATCTTCCCAGCATAAAAATTCAAGCAGCTCTAGCTGTAAGTCAAATGCTGTTAACAGTAGCACAGCAGGAAAGCCCTGCAGGTATAGGGAGAAATGAGTCCTGGGTGGCCCGCTACTCTCCCGTGAGGCTTTGTGCCCAGTGCCTGGAACAGGCTGGGACCACGCGGCCATCTCAGCCATCACAGAGACCTCATCAATCACTGGGCCTTCCAGAGTTTTATGCACTGTCTGGAGGGTTCCAAACCATGGAGAGGTTTAACTGAAGAGCTTAATGCATACTGAAGCACTACAGACTTGCAGCACTGTCAATCCATTTAACAAAATCACTGATAACCACCAGTAAAAATTAAGTTAATGAAATTGTCTCAGCACACCCAAATTCATTTATATTTGATACAGTGTCTTATGTGAAAAATTAGAGTTTTGGTGTAATTAATAATAATAATAATAGCTGTTTTTTTTTAAAGATTTTTTTTTATTTCACAGAGAGACCACAAATTCGGGGATGAGAGGGAGAGGGAGAAGCAGACTCCCCATGGAGTAGGGAGCCAGATGCAGAGCTCCATCCAAGGATCCCAGGATCATGACCTGAGCCAAAGGCAGATGCTCAACTGACTGAGCCACCCAAGTGCCCCAATAATAGCTATTATTTATTAAGTGCTAAATGCTATATATTTTTGCATTTAACCCTCATAGAAACCCTATGAGATTTGATACTCTCCTCTTCATTCCCATTTTAAGGATGAAATACTGGAGGCTTAAGAGTGATGAAGTAGCTTGCCCAAGATTGTGCTCAGCTGGCAGCTGGCTGGGCAGTGAAGCCCCATGGCCTGAGGCTCCCCAACTGGACTACACTGTCAAGTTCTTTGTCAGAGAACAGGTAGTGAGAACAAAACTCACCTGCATAATTAAGGCTTTAATGCAATACTTTTATTGATCCAATACATTTTGGAGTAGGCTATTTTCAAAATGTTCTGGAAAACGCTATGGGATCTTATATTAGATGCAAGTTCAAAGTCTAAGTAAGAACCAGGAATTTTGTTAGAACATACACACAGAATTTAGTGACTTTATTTATTATCTTAAAACTACACATGTACCACAGCAGGACTCTTAACAGTCTGGTTCTAATCCTGACTATGTGGCTTCCAGTGAATCACTTACCTCTCTCTGAGCCTCGATTTTGGTATCTATCAAATATAGGTACTAAACTAGACCAAGGGATTCCAGTTTCTTTATTCAAACAAAATCTTACTTGGGATCCAACATATAAAACACACTAACAGCCGAGTTTTTCAGTTTTGTTTTGTTTTGTTTTCCAGGAGGGGAAGGGTCCCCACAGGCCAGCTCCTTGCTCACCTCCAGCCCCCCGAGGCCACTCCCTGAGCCCCAGCACCACGTGCAGGGAAGCAGCACAGGTGGGAAACTACTGCTCTGAATTCTCTCTAAAGACCTTGTGCTCCTCGCCACTCAGACCCGCATGGCACCTTTCACGTAGTAGGCACTTAATAAATATCGGAGAGGAAACGAATGGAATCTTACCCTGCCTTTTCGGAAATGCGGATATGTAGCTTTCATTTCCTCTGCTGATTGACCTATGCAGTGAAAGCGCTAAGATGGATCCTGGGGGAAACCAAATGTTACATTTATGGAAAAGCTGCTTTTAGATGCTGAAGTGGCTTCCAAGTTCACCATGGCCATAAGTTAAGGGTCTGTCAGCACTTCCATTATGAAAACCGCTTTGTGGTTTCATAACTTAGCCATAAAAGTTTGCTTCAGGCTATCCTTCGGCATACAAATTGAAAACTTTGTTTTAAGCCAAAATGTGGGAATTAGAAAACAAACAATTTATTGGTTTCAGACATAGTTTTGTACCCGTCCTAAGCCAAACAAGATTTATTATGTGGGCAATTAAAGTGGACTAAACCACTTGGTTCCTGAAAAATAAAAAAGGAGAGAAATGGCCAAACTATTTATATTTCAGAAGGAGTCCCCGGGCATGACCATTCCTTTTGGCTATATTTTTATCATGTCCTTTGTCCCCCACATTGATGAGACCTTCAGTATGTTTTAAGTATCTGTTTCCCTGCTTGAGCTGGTTAAACCTGAGAAATCACCCACTCAAAACTACTGTACTTTACAGATTGGGAAACTGAGGCCCCAGCAAAGACAGCCTGGCTTGAACACATCCTGCTGCTAGCTAGGGGAACTAGACCCAGGTACTCTACATTCCAGCTTGGTGATGCACTCACCACCGTTTCCTACCAGATACAACCATTCGAGGTTCCAGGATTCTACATTTCTCCAGCCTGCTAGTATCTAACAGAGCACACACTAGTGCCCCTAATTACACAGGACTACATCCTCCTACACACGGTATACAAGGGACTTTGTGACTTTGGGTACCTAAATTACAAGCCACATGCCATGGGCATGCTCATTATCATTTTATGTCTCTTTGGGCCAAGCACGGTTTCGAGCACCTAGCGATGATGGGTTAGCTACTGGGTCCCAGACGCTGATCTTACTAGAGGGAGACCCGGGCATGGGTGTGTGGAGCAGCTTAAGGACAAATAGGTCAGTCCTCGAGCTTAGAAATGCAACTGAACAGACAAGGTTGTGGTTATTGTTCATTTGTCATGACTGAAACAGATCGATCTATTTTCGATACTGAGCCAGTGCTTGACGATACTGTGTCACAGCTCGGGGAAACAGAGGACTCTCCCTCCCTCTGTGTTACCAGAGCACCTCGAGGCCCCCCCACACACACCATTGTAAATGTCTGCCTCTGTGTATGTCTCCCCTTCCAGACTGCATGTGGGGCAGGCACCAAATCTCATTCCTCTCCATAAGCCTATAGGCACAGGGAAGGTATTCAACAGATGTCTGCGGGGTGAATGAACCAGCGGACAGAGGAACAAATGTCTGCACTTCCTGACAGGGCCAGTCTGTCTCTCACATGGCTTCCGCACGCTTCTCTGCGTGACCCTCTCTGCCCTGCACAGTACTCCTGCTCCCACAGAAACGAGCCAGACCCCTTGGCAGTTACCATTTATCTTTGCAGAAATATTTTGATAGAAAGAATGTGATTCTGGTACCAACAGCCCCGTAACATATTTTCTTAAGTCAAAGAAGAATTTGAGTCAGAAAAATAGGAAATTCCCAAATACCTGGTTAGAAGATCACAGCCCACTCCAATCTCTCTGGTCTCCACCTCAGGCTTGGCCTGGGTTTCTATTAAATAGTCCAACCTGCTTTGTAGTTCATTATTCTAGAGAGGAGGAAAAAAGTACTTTTAGTAAAGCAAATACGTTCCCCCACAAACGTGTGATACAGATAGACATATAGATACAGTCCAAATGTATTACACGATTTACCCTGTGACATGGACATCATAATGTATTATTGAGCACCTCTTATACAGTAGGAGTTGAAGAAATAGTTTGCATCCTTACAGATACTTTTCTGTGCATGTACATACATATGTATCCAATTTTACATCAATGGAAACAAACAAAATACCCTGTTGTATGCTAAATTTGGGGTTTTTCACTCAACAATTTGTTGTGAATATCTTGGCATGTTTATTAGTTTTCTTTTTATGTCAACAAGCTATTTTAATGGGTTCATAGCATTCCATTGTGTGGATGTATATTATTTATTTAACTAGTCTCTTACTGATGGCATTTAGATATTTACCACTTTTTTTGCAATTATAAATAAGGTACAGCTCATGTTTTAATACTCCCTTATTAAACTATAAAATGAGTAAGTCTATTAATTTAATTTAGTGGGAAATACCTCTATAACTTAATAATTAGTATTTCATAGGTTTGGAAAATTCAGAATCTCAAACATATAAAGTAGAACAAGCTCCTTGGGATTAAAATTAGCATTCTAAACAGTTTTTTTCAGGCCAGAGCCAAACATTACATAGGCTGATGATTAGATGCTCAGGAATTGGAAATTTGCCCCATGGGGGAAATGAAGGACAAAGGAGGAAAGGGGCTGAGAATATTGAATGAAAACAGAAGAAAGGATAGTGCCTGGCACCTAAAGGGCAAATATACACACACAAAATCCAGAAAGAGGTTAATGGTGGTTATCTCTGGGTATTGAGGGTTTTTTTTTTAATCCTTCTATATTTTTCTGTAATGCTAAATTTTCTCTTTTTGTATATTATTAGTTTATTTTTTTCATCATGGTAATGATCTTTAATCCCCATCACCTATTTCACTCATCTCATCTCCCAACCCACCTCCCCTCTGGTAATCATCAGTTCTCTAGAGTTAAGAGTCTATTTCTTGGTTTCTCTCTCTCTCTCTGTTCATTTATGTTGTTTCTTAAATTCCACATATGAGTGAAATCATATGATATTTGTCTCTCTGACTTATTTCACTTAGCATAATACTCTCTAGCTCCATCCATGTTGTTGCAAATGGCAAGAGTTCACTCTTTTTTATGGCTGAATAATATTCCAAACCACCTCTTCTTTATCCATTGATCAATGGACACTTGGGCTGCTTCTATAATTTGGCTATTGTAAATACTGCAATAAAGAGAAGGGTGCATATGTCACTTTAGTTAAAAGTTAGTTAAAAAATTAATATTTTTGTATTCTTTGGGTAAATACCCAGTAGTGCAATTACTATATTGTAGGATAGTTCTATTTTTAATTTTTTTAAAAGATTTTATTTATTGAGAGACAGAGAGAGAGAGAGAGAGGCAGAGACATAGGCAGGGGGAGAAGCAGGCTCCATGCAGGGAGCCTGACGTGGGACTCGATCCCGGGTCCCCAGGATCACGCCCTGGGCTGAAGGTGGCGCTAAATCACTGAGCCACCCAGGCTGCTCTATTTTTAATTTTTTGAGGACCCTCTATACTGTTTTCCACTATGGCTGTACCAGTCTGCCTTCCTACCAACAGTATGAGAGGGTTCCTTTTTCTTCAAATCTTCACCAACACTTTAATTTTTCATGAGGCAATATGTTATCTATCTTCTTAGCTATATTCTCCGAGCATGCCATGTCAGAGATGCAAGGTAAATACTGAATAAATAAATGTATAAGTAGTCTTATAAGGAGCATGTTATTTGCGTAATTAGAAAAAAATTAAAGCATTTGTCTTTTAAGAAGCTAAAGCACTATTCTAACACATTAGATTAATGCATGAAAGTTGAACAGTTCTTTGAAAAAGAAACTCATTTGTTTCAAAAGCAAGAATGTGGGTATCACTCAGTAGATCATACTCTGAAATGGGTGATACCAAAGAGCAAAGCAGCAGCTCTGGTACAAACTCTGTTCTGTAAAGGTCTATGGATCCCTTCAGAAAAAAAGGGAAATGGTGTATAGGGAGAGAATCCATAGCAGCTGATGAGCCATGACAGATGAATGGACTCCAAATCTATTACCTAATGCTCAGGATGGAGAATGTTGCTGGCTTACTGCCTGAGGTACAACATTTACACACACAAGTGCACACACAGCTTCTCTAGCAATATTTGGATTCTCTCATTCATAAGGAAAGACAAAGGCAGAAGGGGCTTGCCCATTAACAAGCTCCAGAAACCCCACCGCTTGTCTCTTCTCAGTGTAGAGTTTAATAATGAGGATTTCTCATAATTCTGAACTGACTACCTACAGTTAGGGGGCACAAAAGACAGGTTAGTAAATATTCCCTATTGATAGACTGAATGCAATGTGGCAAAGTAGCCACAAATCCTTTATTCTATTTCAGAAGAACTCTATGTGTGCATATGAGATACATGCTGAAGGCTGAAATAAAAAACCTGCACTCTTAAATTTTAATGTGAACAAAAGGAGTACCAACTATGTATCAGGTAGTGTGTAAAGTTGGGTGAGGGGAGCTAGTTAGCAGTTAAAGAAATAGGGCATGATTGCAACCCCTGAATTCAGTCTTGTGGGGGTACAGACAACCAAGCAGAAAATAACAAAAGCATAAGTCCCATGCCAGAGGGACCCACAGAATATTAATGGGGAACTCAAGACTGGGAAAATGACTGAACTCCATGAAGGCTTCCTGGAGTTATGCAAGGGAAAGAGTAAGAGAAACAAAGGGATGAGTATTCCAGAATTGCAGAACATACCAGGTTGAGAACAAGCACCTTGCTGCAGTATATAGGTAGCAAGAGTTAGTTCTGAAGGGCTACATATGCCTTTACAAGGATTTTATACCCAATTCGATAAGCCAGAGCACTAGATTTTATTTCAACCACTGGGCTTCCAGGTGAAAATTGTCTTGGAAGGAAATAAAACTCCTTGGTTAGTCAAGGAGGCCACTACAATTTCCTAGTTCAAGGAGTGAGAGCTGTATTTATAGCAGTGAGGAGTAGGCACTTAGCCAATGGATCCTCCTGCAAAGAATAGCTATGAAGTGGACAGAAGACCAAATAAAACCAAAAAACCCATCTATTAAGGTCTTTGGAGACTGAACACGGAGAGGCAAGCTGTAGAGGGGAGTGACAAGCTAAGAACGTGTTTTCTGTGACTCATTTGTTTTTGTTTGCAGCTTTTCCCAAAAGCAGTTCAGTCACTGTGGCAGCAGCACAGACCCTTTAGAAATTCAACAGAAAGATCACCTTTCTTGTAGAGGGGGAAAAAAAGGAGTCCAGCATAACCAGGACTGCCAAGAATAAAGGGAAGCCAAAAAGGAGAGAAAGAAAGCAGAAATGTAAAATTCCATGTAAAGACTCAACTCAAGTCTCTGGCAGACCCCCGAACCATGCATGTGTTGGGCCAACTGAAAGAAGTTTGCAGCCAAGGCTTAAAGAGCTGAACTGAGATCTGAGCCATCACCCACTACAGCATGGCAGGGTGGAGTTGGGTCTAACCAAATTCATTACCTAAAACAAAAACCTCAGCACTGTTCAGAACAATAGAACAATCCAAATCCTCCACAACAGAACCTTTACAATGTCTAGATTATAATCCAAAATTACTGAACTTGTAAAGAGTCAGAAAATGTGACCCATTTCCAAAGGGAATGAGAACCAACAGATGCCAATCTTGAGATGACCTGGATGTTGGAATTTTCAGACAAGGACTTTCAAGCCCCTTTTATAACTATGCTCAATGAGGTAAAAGAAAATATGCTACTAATTCATATAATTTAAAAAATCAAACAGAAAATATAAAAAAAGAACCAAGTAGAAACTTTAGAACAGAAAAATATACTCCCTGAAATTTTTTTTAAAAAATCACTAGACCAAAGAAAGAATGGAGATGACAAAGGAAAAAGTCAGTGAACTTGAAAACATATTAACAAAAATTCAATCAGGGGCACTTGGATAGCACAGTCAGTTAAGCATCTGAGTCCTGGTTTCAGCTCATAATTTTAGGGTCATGAGATTGAGCCCATCAGGCTCTGTGCCCAACACAGTCTGCTTAAGACTCTCTGTCCCTCAGGCCCTCCCCTGCCATACTCTTCCTCTAAAGTAAATAGATCTTTAAAAAGGATGAAGAAAGAAAACACTGAAAATAATAAATGGAGCTTCCTGGAACTATGGGACAATTTCTAATGCCTCACATAGGGACACTAGAATCATAAAAGGAGAGGATAAAGAAACTACAGCAGGACAAACAATCAAAGAAATAATGGCTAATCATTTCCCAAATTTGGTGAAAGACATAAATTTGCAAATCCAAGAGTCTCAGCAAATCCCAAACAGAATAAATCCAAAGAGAAATATACCTTGGGATATCTTATTCAAACTACTGAAACCCACAAGATTGAAAGCAATCTTGTTACATACAAGGGAATAATAATTTGAACTACCACAGATTTCTCATCAGAAACTGGAAGTCAGAAGACAGCACTAAAAGAAAGAAATTTATCCCTAAACGCTCAATGATTCAATAATGATGGTAAAATAAAGAGCTCACTTTCAGATAAAGAAAAACTAAGTGAATTTGTCCTCATGTGTGCTATACTAAACAAAATGCTACATAAAGGTCTTCAGGCTGAAGAGAGATGATCTACGAGAAACAGATTTTCAGGAATGAATGAAGAACATCAGAAATAGGTACTATATGAGTAGATATGAAAGACAATATTAAAAGCGATTGTAACAATGTATTGTGGGTTTAAAATGCATGCAAGTGTGATACCTATAACAGCAGAGGAAAGGGTAAATGGACCTATATCATGGCAAGATTTTTTTTTTTAAGATTTTTATTTATTTATTCATGAGAGACACACAGAGAGGGAGAGAGAGAGGCAGAGACACAAGGCAGAGGGCAAGGCAGGCTCCATGCAGGGAGCCCAACGTGGGACTCGATCCCAGGTCTCCAGGATCAGGCCCTGGGCCGAAGGCGGCTCTAAACTGCTGAGCCACCCGGGCTGCCCTCATTGCAAGATTTCTACATTTTACACAAAGTAGTTTAATATTAGATCTTTAAGTAGACTATGAACAAATAATGATGTACATTGTGATACGCAAGGATAATGGCTAATATACTAGAGAAAAGAGACATAGCAAAATGCCAATAGATATATTAAAATGGAATTTTTAAAAATAATAATCCAAAAGAATACAAAAGAAGGGAGAACAAAAATAAGCAAAACAAACCAGAGGGTGTAAACAGAAAATAAATAATAAAATGACAGACCTAAATCCAATCCTAGTAATTATTAAATGTCAATGGACTATACACTCCAGTGAAAGAGATATCAGAATATACTTTAAAAAGCAAGACTTAACTATGTCTTGTCAATAAGAGATGCATGTTAAGTATAGAGACATGGATCAACTGAAAATAAGTGGGTGGAAAAAGGTATATAATACAAACAGTAAAGAGAGCAGGAATAGCTATATTAATGCCAGAGAAGACAGATTTCAAGACAGAGAATATGAACAAGACAGTGACCAACATTTCAAAATAAGGAAAAAGTCAATTCATCACCAAGACATGACAATAAAAATTTATACATATTTAATAAAGCTTCAAAATATATGAAATTAAAAAATTAAATAGATGGTCTAAAACCATACCAATGGTTTTAGCTGACACCCCTCTGTCAGCAATTGATAGAGAATTACACAAAAATCAGGAAGAACATAAATAAAATAAATGATACTATCAGCCATCTTAATCTAATTGATATTTATAGAACACAAAAATAACTGAATACCTGTTTTTTTACACTAACCAAGAGAAACGATGTGCTGAGCCATAAAACAAATCTCAATAAATTTAAAAGAATTAAAACCATACAAAATATGTTCTCTGACAATAACAATTAGAAATCAAAAACAATATATAAGAAAACCTCGAATATTTGGAGGTTAAACAACACACTTCTGAATAATCCATAAATCAAAGAAGAATCTCAAAGGAAATTAGAAAATATTTCAAACTGGATGATAATGAAAATACAACATATCATAGCTTGAGGGGTGCCACTGAAGCAGAGCGTACAGAGAGACGTTTATAGCTGCTGATAGTAACAAAGAAGAGAGCTCTAAAATCAATGGCCTAATGTCCACCCCAAAGACCTAGAAAAAGAGGAGCAAAGTAATACCAAAATAATTAGAAGGAAGGGAATAATGAATATCAGAACAAAACTCAATAGGATAGAAAACAGACAACAGAAAGTATCAACAAAGCAAAAGCTATTCCAATTTTTTAAAACATCAACAAAACTGATAACCCCCTAGCTAGACTGATCAAAGATGGGGTGGTGTGTAAATAATAAGGATCAAAGAGGTGCTAAAAGGAAACAACTGGATATCTATGTGGAAAAAAATACATTCCTTACTTCACACCAAACCCCAAAATTAGCTCCAAGTGGATTACAGATCTCAAATAAAACATTTAGGGAAAACCCTAGGAGAAAATCTCTGTGACCTTGTACTAGGCAAAGACTTCTTAGCACACAAAAAGGATAAACCATAAAAGAAGAAATTGATAAACTGAACTTTATCAAAAATAAAAACCTTATCTTCAAGAAAATGAAAAAGTGAGGCATCTGGCTGGACAGTCAGTAAAGCCTGCAACTTTGAGGTCATGAGTTCGAGCCCCACATTGGGGGAAGAGTTTAATTAAGAAAAGAAAATAAAAAAGCAAATCATGAAATGGGAGAAAATATTCACAATACATATATCTGACAACTGGCATCCAAAATATAAGAACTCTTACAATTCAATAATAAGAAAACCAAAAACTTGATAAAATGATGGGCAAAAGATTTGAATGGGCACTTCAAAACACTAAATGGCCAATAAGCATTTAAAAAGATGCTCAGCATCACTAGTGACCATGGAAATGCAAATAACACCACAATGAGATACTACCTAAACACCCTCTAGGATGGCTAAATCAAATAGATTGATGGGACTAAGGGTGAAGATGTAGAGAAACTGTAACATTCGAACTCCTGGTGGGACTATAAAATACTACACAGTCCCTTTAATAAACCATTCGACAGTTTCTTAGAAAGTTAAACCTATATCTACTGTTCAACACAGCCATCCCACTACTAGGAATTCACCCCAGAGGGGTAAAAGCATAAGTCCACATAATGACTTGTATAGTAATGCTCACAGCAGCATCATTCACAAGAGCCCCAACCTGGAAACAACACAAATGTAGATCAACAAATGAGTGGATAAATAAATACAGTGGAACACCTACATCACAGACACAGCTAAAATCATTATGCTGAGCAAAAGATGCTAGATACAAAAGAGTCCGTACTGTATGATTTCATTTACAGAGGATGCAAACCAGTCCTCAGTGACAAAGTGAGCCTCCCACCAAAAACCAAAAACACAAATCACTGGCTGCCTGGGGATAAACTGAGAAAGGGAAATGGAGTCTTCGGGAAGTGGTGGAAATGTTCTGTATCTAGACTGTGGTGCTGGTTTCACTGGTACATACAACTGTCAACATTGTATGGAAGGAAATTATTATAGTTCATTAACTAGGCACTTTAATTTCTTTTAGGTATAACTGACATATCACATTATAGTGTTTCCAGGTGCCCTGTTCATATATCCTGTGAAATGACCACCGTGGGAAGTCTAGTTCCCACCTGTCACTATACCTTACATAGATAAGGCTTATTGATGTAAATGAATATACAACAAGGTTGCCAAAGGTGTGAGCTTGAATATGGGCAGTAGGAGACAAGTTAGACAAGGAGGAACAGATTAAGAAATAGAAAAGTGTCAGGACTAGGTCTAGGAAAACAAAGACTCTGCTCTCAATCCCACAGACTCTACCTACAGAGAACCAACAAAAGGCAGCCTCACCACTGCCAGGCTTGTGTTCCGCGGAGGGTGGCTTCTGGGGCTGAGCCTCCGGTTCCAGGATTGTCCTGCTTTCAGATACCGCCCCCTTGTGTTAAGATGTGACATGCAGCCCAGGAGGCTGTGCGCCTTCCAGGAAGGAAGGACATGGTACCGCACCTTTTGGCATTTTTTGGAAGTTATGTCACAAATATAGGGCAGCCACCTCCTCCCCCAACTCCCCCAGGCCCAGGGGAGGGAGAGGCCGGAGCTGGAGCACAGGCACTAAACAAAAATGTGTGTCCAATAAAATGCATACGTGCAGCCTTGGTGCCTGGTGCTGCTGCCCCACTATTACCCTGGAAAATTAATAATAGTCCCAGGAATGCACAACAGACACGTTGAGAGGTTTATGTACCATACAACATGCATTAAATGCAGGATGAACAAAACCAAGACATGTGACTCCTTTCCTCTGACCTTGGAATTCTGCTGTAAGTTCAGGATTTTCAGCAGTGAAAAATGCAATGGAATCACATCAGAGTTTCAGACAGCTGACCAACTTTATATACTTATAAAGCATAATTTCAATTTAGTAACAGTTTCTATATAGGAAATAGGGAATGGGATATTCCTTCTTCAAAAGGTGGGCAAATAAAGTATTGTTGGGAGAAAAAGAAGAAAGAATGGACATATTTTTATGTCAGGAAGATTTTGAATTGGTTGATAAAAATGTGGTGTGATGGGGCCAGGCTAGAGCAAACTTCTAGGGATCTGGTTGGGGTGGAGGGTTCCAAATCTAATGAGTAAACATCAGTAAGTTCAAATGTTGGATTCAGAGACCAAAATGATCCACATTTTTTGTTTTAAGAAGGAAGGTGGGAGAGGAAAAGGAGGAGGAAGAAATATGTATCAGTGACAAGGAAAGGAGACCCTGGGGCCTGGACAATTGGAAAAACAGTAAACACATATGGCATTTACAGTGAGCCATGTATTTTTCTAATCACTTACTATTAACTAATTTAATCCTCCTAACAACTCTATAGAGAAGACACCATTTTAGAGAAGACTCCCTTTTACAGATGAGCAAACTGAGACCCAGAGCAGTTAAACAGCTTACTCAAGATCACACAACTAGCAAGTGGCAGAGCTGGGAATTTGAACTCGGGCAGCCTAACTCCAGGGTCTGTAATTAGGCACTTAGTAAAAGGTAGCTACTTTATTAATAAGGTGGGATATAAAAGGCTACCAGATATGTCTATCAAAACTTCTCAAAGATATCTGGAATACCACCTTTGGCATCATTATGGTTTTAAAGGAGGTGGTGGGAAGATGTGGTATAAAAATCAGTGGCGTGAGAACCGGCCAAAAGCACAGAAATTCTTAGTGGCCAACAGAATCCTGTATTGTAAAGCGATATAATTAGATAAGTTTGGAAAATGTGTGACTAGTAATCTTTTTTTTTTTTTTAAAGATTCTATTTATCCATTCACGAGAGACACAGAGAGGCAGAGACATAGCCAGAGGGAGAAGCAGGCTCCCCATGGGGAGCCCAATGCAGGACTTGGTCCCAGAACCCTGGGATCACAACCTGACCCAAAGGCAGAGGCTCAGCTGCTGAGCCACCTTGGTGCCCCCTTTGTAATCTTAAAAAGACATGTACTTCCCCCAATTCTGTCAGGACTAAAATTAGCCTAACAGTAGGCACAGTGCTTTAGCCATGACCAATTCTCACACCCAGGTAGTTTTCAATATAGTTTGCCACTAAAATGAACCAGGGCTCCTTGGCGACAAGCCAGTACTGTATCTTGAAACAGGACAAAAACGAGGCGGCAAGAATGAACCCAGAAGCACCAGGAACCCTGCTGCACGGGCAAAGAAATTGATGTAGGAGAACTCTCCTCATCTGAGGTGTGACAATTTGGGCATCAAAAAAAAGGAGGAGGGGCAGCCCCAGTGGCCCAGCGGTTTAGCGCCGCCTTCAGCCCAGGGTGTGATCCTGGAGACCCGGGATCGAGTCCCATGTCAGGCTCTCTGTGTGGAGCCTGCTTCTCCCTCTGCCTGTGTCTCTGCTTCTCTCTCTCTCTGTCTCCTCTCTGTGTATTCTCATGAATAAATAAATAAAATCTTTAAAAAGGAAAAAAAAGGAGAAGGAAATTATTATTATAGAAACAAGGTGAATCTAAGAAATGCCTTGTGTTCAACAGTGTCTCTCAAAGGGAAAGTTAATAGAAAGTATACACAAAGATAGTTTTAATAGAAAAGACAGGTGACCATAATAAGCTAGGTTACAATTTATATTGATTTTTAAAACTAGAAACAATATCCAAGGTGATGTCATCTCTTTTATAGAGTATTAATTATATGTTCGTTTATGAAATTTCTGTGTCAAGTAAGAAAGAGTAACGAAATGAATCATAAATTGGGTCATCCCAGGACCTTAGGCCCCATGGAAAGACTGCTTGGCGTTGGTAACCCTACAACCACCAGGTGGAAAGAGCAGCAGAGATCCACTGCCATTAGTGGTCACAAACAGTTAACAAGGAACCAACAGTTAGCAATGTGTTTGTAACATAAACTAGTCAAACAGCCTGAAGAAGAAAACCAAGCACTCAAAAGCCATCTCTTATCTTCTAGGAGGTGAAACATCTACCTGACGCAACAAGGTGTGGTAAAGTATTAATGAGGAATACATGAGTTCTGTTCTGAAAGCGAGGTCAATGCATCATGATGATAAAGGGTCCTGACTAAATCACCTTGAAGCCACCTCA